ACGTAATTCGGCACCACAGTCCAACTAAAATTTTGTAAATAGTCGGCCCACTAAATTAATAGTGATTTTTTATGCAACGAATAAAGCAATAAATCTGTTTAAAGTCCAGCGATTAAATTAATAAAAATAATAACAAATAACAAATAGATAAGCGCCCGATTACAGCAACAAAAAATCTCCGCCACCGTTATAACTCAAGTGTGTGTCGTGCCGCTATTAAAAAAAACTCATACAAACTCCCGATAAATTAATATCTATACATATATTTTCTTTTCACTCACTACAGGACTCGCCGCTCTCCTCCAAAGTGGCTATGTTCAACAAACAAACGCAACAGCATAAGGACCAGCAACTGCTGAATCCATTCTCCGGCGCCAGTGGGCGTGCATCGCCAAAGCCTAGCTTCTCTAAAGATGAGTATGGCAAGTAAGTAGCAGCCGCGACAACCCCTTCATGACTGCTAGCAAACTTTTCTAATTTTGTTCACCCCTTCTCTCCCTAACAGACCCTTGGCGGGCAGCTTGACAGAGATGCGCGGTCAGAAGGCTAATATGCATGTGCTTCGCGAAATGCTGGAACTATGTCAAATCATTGACTCAGAGGGTTACAATGTCAAGGATGAGCCGACAATGCGTGTCATACCCTTCGGCGAGCTCTTCAATGTGAGTACATATACAGCAGCGTAAACTTTCTCCGTCGCTTTTTTACTTATTCACTTTCCCTTCTCACAGATTTACAACTACATCTCCGACAAGGTGGTTGGCATTTTATTGCGTGCGCGCAAGCATAAACTAGTAGATTTTGAAGGCGAGATGCTGTTTCAACGTCGCGACGATGACGTCCCGATTTTCCTGCTCAAGCCGATCGCTGAAATACGTCAGGAATTGCAAGCGAAGATTGAGGATATTAAGCGCGGTGGCAGCCCAGCACCGCAAGCGACATCGGTGCTGTTAGACAAGAACGCACACAAGCAGAAGTTGTCGTCGCGCAGCTCCACGCCGTCAGCTTCACCAACACCCTCCAAGACAGCAACGCCAGCACAATCGAAGGCTGCCTCGCCAGTGCCCTCAAAGGCATCTTCTCCTGCGCCTTCAGAGAAAGTGCCTGCAGTAACAGCCGCAGCAGCACAGCAACAAACAGTGACTGAAGTGGTGGAGCCAAACAGCGAAGTTACCCGGCTCGAGAGCGCACAGGAATCCAGTAAGCCAGCCGAAAAAACCGATGCTGCTGCTGCAGCGACGCCGGCTGTTGCCGCGCAATCGGTGGAGCAGCCTGCGCTAGCCGCTGAAAAAGTGGAAGCACCTGTACAAACCAACCCTGCTGCTGATATACCCAATCCGAACGCGATTAAAAGCGCTGAAATACCCACGATTGTCGTTGATGCCACTGCAGTGCATACGCGTACAGTGCCGTCACTGGCCGAGAATGCGTCGGCAGCTGCGTCGGCGGAGGCAATAGATGAAGCCGCCACTACCGCGGTTACAGAGCTGCCGACAAGCAACAACAACGTGGAAAATCCCCAGGCTTAATTTATTAACAACATTATAGTTATATTAAACGAATTGTTAAGCTAGTTGAAACATGTAAAGGCTTCCCTAAAGTAGAGTTAGGTTAAAGCGGGGTACTTATTGGCACAAAACGAATGCAATTGGCTAATGCAAAACTTGAGCATTAGGCGTAGTATTATGGAATATTGATTGCGAAAATGATAGAGACGCAGCAACTGACGGCGGAAGTGGAGCTGAGAAAATTCTCTGCGCATTCGAGTTGTAAAATTTTGTAGATTTCTGATCATTTGCGAAAGGACATTTGCCACATATGAAATAATAATTTTAATTTGTAAATACAATTTGCTGTAGTGCGGGTACTAAAACAGGAAATTATTCATTGACTACATTTTTATCTCAATAAAATAGTATACATAGACGGAAAGTAACAAAAGGTGATTTTTTTTCCGGCCGGCTGGTGTCCACGGTTGCATTTCAAACATAATAAATTTTTATAGAATTTTTAAAATTCTTTCAGATGGACAAAAACACAGGATATACATACATGTACAGGGTGGGCCAAATAAGACCCACCAATTACACGCGGCAGGTCCATAGTTTGCCTGGCAGTGTGCGCAGTCGCTCCATTTTATTGGAACCACAAATTAGGATGCTGCTCTGCCGTTGGCCGCAAAAAGTTGTCAATCATTGTTCTGTAAGAAGCTCCATACACTGGACCCGTCAGTGCATAAACGGCATTCACAGGTAGTCGGTCTCGACTTACACCAACTGCCGCCCTGTGAATGCCGTTCATAAAATAACCTCTGGACTTCGTATAAATGCCTTCTATCGTACTTAGGCTCGGCAGCAAGCAAGTGTCTGCTCAGGTGCCCTCGTCCGTGATATCCTACTAGGCATTGCTTACCCAGCATTGTGCAGTGCTTCTTGACGGGGAGCATGTAGATGGACTACCGTGTTTTGGCAAGTCTGTTGCTTCATGCTGCGTCCTGCTAGCCTCCGCTGCGTACTTTAGAACGGACCGGCCAATTGCCTTGTACGTTGCCAGCAACATTTTTTTTTTGCGGCTCTGTACTTTATTGACAATTGCGGTTGTGTGCGCAGAGAAATAGACCAAATTATCTCCGTGCATTTTAGGGTTGTTCACCGTCTGGATTGGTTCGCCATCGACGTAAATGCCTAGCTGCTGTCTGACCTCTTTCGTTCAGGTGGTGAAAGGCGATATTCGAGATAATAGAGATGGGGTTCGCCGATCTAACGCTGAACCAACAGTCCTTGGTCGTTAAAACCCGAGTCATTCCGGTACGTAGAACCAGCTACCTGTCCAGACTCGACTCCAATATCCCCAATGAGTGTCCGGCATGTGGAGACTCCCCGCACGACACCAACCACCTCTTTACATGCCAGCTCAATCCCAATCAACTAACACCCCTCTCCCTTTGGTCCGTCTCTGTTGTAACTGCCCGTTTCTTGGGCATACCGTTTGTTGAGCTTGACGACAATGATTGAGGGATAAACCGAAATAGGCGGGATAACAGATAACATCGTTTGAGTTCCTGTGGAAGAGTGGAAGTCTCGACGTCTTCTAACAGCGTGGAGAGGCTGACGATGTCAAACGCCTCTTTTCAACGCCACTAGAATTTTCTCTCACAAGAGCAGTTTTGGTTTAGCTGTAAGTGCTGTTATTGTGCTGTGTACTTTACGGAATCCATACTGATGCTCCACTGGTTGCTATGGCTCGCTCGACGTTTGGCTTTGTCCACCGAGGGATGCAGCGTGAACTGTCGGCTAAAATAGCTCGCTCATCGCTCCGGGTTCGACGAAGCGTGGTCGCCGAAAGAAATTTCGACTCTGTCGTCAAGCTTGCTCACACCAGAGGTGGAGTTACAAGTCTTCAGACGATCTCTCCACTTCTTTCGCTAAAGCACGTTCACAAGTTGCCGAATATCCGCGTTGAGATCCCTAATGCGGGGATTTCCGGGTTTGGCCGGACAGAGGTTGTCTCGCTCATCAGCCAAGACAGCCGCTTCGGCAGAAAAATTCTGACAGGGGTCCGAAATACATCCAGCTGGAATGAAGCGGGCTGCAGCATCAGTGACAACCCGGCGGAACTTACGCTCATCTACGTGAACGTCAGTTGGTGTGGGGAGGGCAGATAAGGTGCTTTCAGTAACTTTCGCGAAGCCGTTCCAATAAACTTTGCTAAAGTTGACGTAGGTTCAGTGTTCCACGGATGCAAAGTCAGCAGGTTTAGCAATCGAGATAATTACGGGCAGATGATCCGATGCTAACGTTAGCATAGGTCGCCTCGTTATGCTGTTTATCAGACCAGCGCTTTACCATGTTATATCGGGCGAGCTATTGTCGAATCGTCTATCTGCTCAGCCAATAAGTTTCCCCTAAGATCATTTGGCAGGCTTGAGTGCCAAAGATCGTGGTAAGCGTTAAAGTCACCTATTACCATACGGCTTTCACCTCCGAGTAGCGCACCTATGTCAGCAAGGCATTGCTGCATAGACGAAAAATGATTGAAGAAATTCGCCGATCTAAACGGGGATGGGCCCCGAAACAACAGCTGTTGATCGGGGAAAACCCCAAGTCATACCGGTGCGCAGACCGGCAGTCTTGGGAATGTTACCTCGCTCTACCGTCTCATTTGAAGGGGTTAGGTGCCAGAGAGCATTTTTTTTTTTAATGGGTTAAAGGCGAATTCATGCAAGGGGTAGCAGGAGCACAAAAAAATGCTTCAACAAATTATATGCACAATGACAGTAAGAATCACAACAAATACCTAATTTTGGCAGTAAATCGGCGGAACTCGTACCACCCGTCTGTGTGGTCGCCGGGGACTGGTAGGACGCAGTGGAGAAAGCTGTAGACTTGCCAAAACACCGCACTCAGGAGAGACAGGATAACTTTTGATGTAGCGGCAACATCACCTGCCGCCCATATGCACCCCGTTAAGGAGCATAACACAACGCTCAGCAAGCAGCTTCTAGTTGGCAGCCACATACGTGGTCAATCAAATAGACAATAAAAACAGATTGGCCATAAAATATTCCTTCCTCGTTAATCTGTAATTATAAAATAGTCTAAGATTAACCCGATAAATTTTCGGAGGCAAACATGGTTTTATCGATTATTATTTTTCGAAGAAGAGTAATGTCACATGTGAAAATAAACGAGGGATAAAGGTTTGGAAAGGTATTTATAACAAAATTATAAGTTCTGAGCAAAACAAGCACAACCAATTTGAGAGCTAATATTCCGAGATTTGATTGTGTAAACGGGGTGATTAACAAACGAGCTCTGATTGAGAATATATGTATTTACCTATATGTAAACGTAATTTTTCTACTCACAACTCGTTCATAAGTTTATCGAGCACTTCGAAAGAGCTTCGATCTATCGAAAGTGTTTCATTGCGAATCTCAAATAAAAAGCATTTATCGACTATTTTCTTTTCGCGAAATAGTTAACTGTGAACTCTTTTGTAATAAGAAGCAGCACGTCATTTATTTAATTTTTGTTTACCGCTCTGTTATACGCGTAAAAGCGTGGTGAAAATTTCTGCTACGGTGCTATTTAGAAAAATTAATTTTACAAACACAACAAAATGGTCGAGCGTATTGAGGATTTAAATTTACCCAACGCTGTTGTGGGACGCCTGATCAAGGACGCGCTACCCGAAGGCGCGAACGTTAGCAAAGAAGCGCGTGCGGCCATAGCCCGTGCCGCGTCAGTCTTTGTAATCTTTCTGACTTCCACATCGACAACGCTAGCCCGTAAGCAGAATCATAAGACCATTACAGCGGCAAATATATTAGATGCATTAAAACAACTGGAATTTGAAAGCTTTGTCGATCCATTGACATCCGATTTGGAGTCCTATCGCAAAGCCGCGAAAGAGAAGAAGGACAAAGCTAAAACAAGTAGCGCAGCAGCTGTAGGCACCACAAGTGGAGCCAACGATGAGGAAATGGAGACTGAGAAGGCATCATAGATTAATGTAGGTGCTGCTATTTGTTTTCGACTTTTTGCCCAAATAAATGTACGAACATCTTTAAAGATTTTGTGTTTAAATTACCAAGGTATTTAATACGAATGGGTTTTTCCGCCTTAGGCCTCCCAGAGCTTATAACTACTAACTACTTTAGCATAATGAAAAAAAAGGTAACTACAAACCTCGCTCCTTAAAACTTTAATTGATCACTTCAGATTCCAAATCTTGCCAGAAAGGATCGGAATACGTATCTGAATCATCATCGTCATGCGAGGACGATTCTTCTGCTTCATCATCAATTTGCCATTCTTCATCGCGCATGCGAGACAGCATTAACGAAGTGTCTTGATCCTGTTTGTCACCCCCGCGAGTCAATGCATTGACACCTTTCAAAGCGCGGCGGTCGTTAGGCTCAATGCTGTTCAAATATAAATGTAAAATCAACTTAATTTACTTAATACCCAGTCACTCGTACTTGTCTCTGCAGTTATCATACCTCAAAGCAATCGTATAATATTCAAGTGCGCCATCCAAATCTCTTAGGGTACGGCGCAAATCACCCAACATGCTGAAGTATGAGTGATTAGGAAAGGTCATTACTTGCTTTTTAAGCATAGCGCTAGCTTCTTGCGTCTCCCCATTTGCCTGACATACGTCTGCCATAAGCGCCACAGCCACCGAATAATGCTCATCGATTTCCAGCGCTTTAGCTAGGAATTTTTTAGCGCTTTTCTTGGCAAGCGGGTTATTAGAGTGTAGTAACACGCGTGCAAACATCTGAAATTAAGAAGATATCCGAATAAAATTTAGTAGCGAGTAAATTACTTCAGTTAGCTCATACCACATAACTACGAGGCGAATTGCGGAAATAACGTACAGCTAAAGCACACATAGCCTGTGCCTCGTCTCGACGCTTCATGCCTACATAGCAATGATAGAGACCCTTATAGACTTCAAATCGATAACCGGCTATACATTGAGCAGCGCGAAAATACGAAATCGCTTCCTGCCGCTGTTTTAGCTGTAGACATATACGTCCTCGTAGCAATTGTGCCTCAACGTTGCGCTCATTTAACTCTATTGCTTTCTTTGCAAATGAAATTGCTTTCTCAATTTGACCTGCGGCATAGCAATTCTCAGCAACAACAAACCAATGATCGGAATTAAGTTCTTTTATGTTGCTTATGTGAGTAGATAGTTTATCCAACTGAGAAAATTTTTGATTGTATTCATAGACCACGGCTAGAGGCATGATGGCTTCCGTGCTGTGAGGGTTAACCATAACGGCAGTCTCCAGATACTGTTGCGCCTGAATGTATCGCCCATAGTAATAGAGGGTTTTGCCTATCAATGCAAGTAGATAATAGTTTTGGTGAAACTTTGTGTTATCGTTGATCGCTTGAAATGTCTTTGATGCCTCCAAATGGTCGCGTCCGTACAACTGAGCGTGTGCCTTTATCCAGCTGCTCAGCCAATCGATGTGCTTTGGCAAAGCACTTGCTACAAGTTAAAGAAAGCGAATTTAGACAAATACAATAAATTTGTAAACGTTTTCATTACCATTAAC